CGGCGCGGTGCGGTGCATGCTGCTCGGTGTCTGGCGCCGGCCGTGCCCGGGGCAGAGAGGGCCGGGGGGCGGCGGCGAGGCCGGGCGCGGTGGCTCCCGGCGAGGGGGTGGCTCGGGAAGGTGGTTGGTTCCTCAGTTACGCGGTCTGAGGGGGTGAAGTCGCCCGCGGCTCCCCACACCGGAGGTTTGTGTCTTCGTCACGGTGAACGTGGGGGCCGAGGAGGGGTCCCAGGGGACGGGAATCGTGATTTCTCCGCGTGGGACTTCCAGAGCTCTTCAGCTGAGCAGCATCCCGGGGTGGGGGTCAGCTGTAGCCCAAGGTACCTTCCTCGGGTGTTCACGGGGGCTTTTTGTCTAGTTTGGAGAGAGGAGGCTGAGGGGCAACCTCATTGCGCTCTGCAGCTCCCTGAGGAGGGGAAGGGGAGAGGCAGGTGCTGAGCTCTTCTGCCTGGGATCCCGGGTCTGGACACATGGGAATGGTTCATAGCTGCACCAGGGGAGGTTCAGGATGGGCATGAGGAAGCATTTCTTTATGGAGGGGGTGGTCAAACCCTGGAACAGGCTTCCCAGAGAGGTGGTTGATGCCCCAGGCCTGGCCATGTTTGAGATGCATCTGGACAATGCCCTCAACAACATGCTTTCGCTTGGTCAGCCCTGAATTGATCAGGCAGTTGGACTAGATGATCGTTGTAGGTCCCCTCCAACTGAAATATTCTATTTCTATTCTTACTCTTATTCCTGCTTTCTCCTTTCCTAACAGTACATGCTGAAGAAATCTCTGATGATGTACATAACATGGGGAGTAAACAAGAGGAGCTAGAGATGTGCACACGCCTGCAGGGCTATGAACTTACTGACATCACAGAGATGTAGTGGGATGGTTCCTATGGCTGGAGTGTTGGAATGGAAGGATACAGGGCTTTTAGAAAGGACAGGCAGAGAAGATGACAAGGGGGTGTCACCCTCTATGTCAGTGATCAGCTGGAGTGCCTGGAGCTCTGCCTGTGACCTGATGGGTCAGGATTAAAGGGAAGGCAGGGACAGGTGATGTTATAGTGGGGTCTGCTTCAGGCCACCTGGCCAGAAGGCCAAGCAGATGAGGCCCTCTATAGACAGGTAGGAGCAGCCTCACATTCATAAGCCCTGGGCCTCATGGGGGACTTCAGCCACCCTGATGTCTGTTGGAGGGACAACACAGCAGGGCATAAGAAATCCAGGAGGTTCCTGGAATGTGTTGATGATAACTTCCTTCTCCAAGTGATAGAGGAGCCAATGAGGAGAGATGCTATGCTGGACCTCATTCTCACCAACAAGGAGGGGCTGGTGGGGAGTATGAAGCTCAAGGGCAACCTTAGCTGCAGTGACCATGAAGTGTTGGAGTTCAAGATCCTTAGGGCAGCGAGGAGGGCACACAGCAAGTTCACTACCCTCGACTTCAGGAGAGCAGACTTTGGCCTCTTCAGGGATCTGCTTGGCAGAGTAGAATGGGATAAAGCCCTGGAGGGAAGAGTGGCTGGTTACTATTCAAGGATCACCTCCTCCAAGCTCAGAGTGATGCATCCCGAGAAGGAGGAAGTCAGGCAAAAACACCAGGAGGCCTGCATGGATGAACAAGGCACTGTTCAAAAAACCCCCGGAAACCAGTGCCAGTCTGCCCTGGGGGAAAATTCCTTCCTGGCCTCAGCACTGGTGATTGGCTATTCCCTGAGCATGTGGGCAAGATCTGCCTCCTTGATGCCAACCCGTATTCTCCCTCAACCTGGAGCCATCTTGGGGGCCTCTCAGGAGTGGCAAAAGGCAGCTGACCTGATTGACCTCAGGGGAAAGAATCCTTCCCATACCTGGCAGGATACTAGTGGGTGCTACAAAGCACTGGGACCCCCTGCAACATCTGAGCATCCCATTTCTTATGGCTTCTGCCCCTGGCTCAGCAGGGGGATGAGGATGGTGAGCTCTGCAGTGCTCCTTAAAAAGGCATTTCCTTGGTCTTGCCACAGCTATCCAGCTGAAAAGGATTTCCTTTCATCAGATGAGCTCTGAACATGGCCCCACCAAGAGCTGGTCTTGTAGCAGAGAATCTCCAACAGCCTTGTCCAGCCTCCAGTCTTCCTCCCTCAGCCCCCTCCAAGTAATTCCACTGGCTCCTCCAGGAGTTCCTCTCAGATGTCTTCATGCTGCCCCAGGCCAGCTCTGTCCCCATGCCCAAGCCAGGTAGGCTGGCAGCAGAACAGGGGAGGATGCTCCCTTTTGTCCTGCCCTGGGGTCATTGTGTCTGCTGTATTGCTATGTGGTGGCACTGTGACATATGCCCAGTGCAGAAGCATAAGTAGTGTCTGAAAAGCCTAAGGTGTGAATTAAAATAATGGGGAAAAAATGTATTTGTTCAAAGCCTGAAGTCCCCTGATAGGTGATCCATGAAACTCAGCATACATCAGTACCTCTACAACTCTGTTGCAGGCTGGTTTCTGTGTTTTGAAGACCCTCAGAATTCTCCTCAACACTGTTGAATGCCAGTCACCAAGAGCTGGTGCTGGCTGGCCACTGTTCCTGAAGTTCAGACTATACAGGGTTTGCCAAGCCCTTTTTCTGTCACAGGAGTAGGTCACTGCATGCCTGGTGGAGCCAAGGTCCATGTTTAGTTCATTTTTGCTTTGCTTCCCTTTACTGTCATTAGGGAGCAGAGGCAAGTTCTTTTGGTGATTCAGGTTATTCTGAGAGCAAGTACTGAACACTTTAAACTATGCTGCAAAGTGTTTACCTGACACCAGCTAATAGGCCAGGTCTTGTCTCAAAAATAATGGATGACAATGAAAGCAATGGGGTTTTTTGACATCCAGTTTTATAGCACTGAAGTGATGAAAACTTCCAAGACAGATATTGTCTATCTATTGGAGAGAGATTAAATGGAAAATTCAAACCAATATTTGACCCATATTAATTCAGCAAGTGCAGGACCTTTGAAATAATGCATATTCCCCATTTCTTATTTTTTCACCCAAACCAATAGTCAGGGAAGGATAGTTACATCCCATTATTAATTTCTCATTGCTCATTCACTGATGTGTGCCTGAACCTAGTTTTCTTAGGACTATTTAGAAAAATGTTGACCTAGCTTCATCCTTTCTATCGTCACACAGCTATTTCATGTTGCTAGACAAATCTGCTTGTCCTTTGGCCATGCTCCTGATTGCGGTTTTTGCAAATTAATTTCAGTGGCGTTATGCTGGTCTACCATATCTGAGAATCTGTCCCTTACTGTAAACCTCTGAGGGCAAAATTAATACTTAAGAAAAATAGTGAACTTTTTATCTTTTGAGTTAACATCACTGAACTATAACTGAGTGTAAAAATTATTCTTTTGAAAATGAGAGTTCTCATGAATTCTCAGTCAGCTCTGGAAAGCATGTTTAATACAAACATTCAGAAACTTGTCTTTCATGAAAAGTTTCCAACTAGAGTTTTGATTCCCCTCCAGATACTATAAACTGTGCTGAGATCTGTGCAGAACTAGTTTTGGCCTTGGAAGTGAGTGATGTGGAATTGATAGTTTCATATTGATCTCTTGAAACATCTTTAAACAATAATGTTTTCTAATGGTAAAATTCAGAAAAGTCATTTGTCACATGGAGTTTCTTGCTATGCCTTCTGTCAGGAAAATACTGTGAAAATACTTTCAGCCATCTCCATGAATATTTGGCTCACAATAAGTTTCCATAATTAACAAACATAATTCTTAATATGAGTAATTGTATGTTTGTCAGACTTTGGCTACATTACAGAATGTTTTGAAAAGTGAGCTACAAAAAAAAAAGACAAAACATGAATGTGTAAAAACTCCTGTGAATTTGGAAATACCTCTGTAAAACTTCTCATGCATAACATCTCCCTTGTGGTTTTTGGAACAAGCTTTTCTTGTCACATAAATTTCCTATGTATGTTCCCAGCAGCAATCTACCTGTAGCAGAGGGATCCCTGCAGGCGTGCAGCCCATGTAAGTGGTGTGTCTCCACCGCCTGCCAGGACGGGCAGATCAGCGGGGAGGCAGCGCCCGGGTTGGACGGGAGCTCAGTCATCTTCCAGCATCAAGATGTCACAGCCAGGCAGTAAGCTCTGAATGATGGAGCATCAACTGGCCTCTTCTGGCTGCTCCCCTCAGTTCAGACCCAGAGGATCCTAGCAGTAGATTCACCGCCCCTTCCTTTTTATTGATTGTTAGAAACTGAATTGATTGAATGATGATCCCTTTCCCAAGAGCATTCTCTAGGCACAGATCTCTACCAGAGGAGCAGTCACTGACCACAGGCTGGGTGTGAGCAGATGTTGGTATGTAAGTTCACCTGGCTGGAGGATCGAGGCCTTAATCATTTGTGTAAGATCCCACTGTAGTATTAAGAGGCAGCCCTGTTATTCCTTTGTCTCCCACCCCCTACCTTAAAAATTCTGGTGTCACTCTAGAGGGTTTTGTCTCCACTGACCGTCAACAACTAGAGAAATTCAATGGAAACACAAGCGATTCATGCTATGTAAAACAAAAGACTTTTGTGGAAATCCTTTCTCTCCAGTAGAGTGTTTCAAACAGCCTTTGCTGCAGTGATACCGGTGCTACCCAGCAGCCTGGCAGGAGTAGCCATCAGGCCATACTGGCCCTACAGCTGCTGTAGGGTAACTGCAAAGCCAGAGGGGAATACTGGTGCTACACAGAGGTCACAGCTGTGGCTGTGGCGTAGCCATAGGCTTTCCAAAAACGTACACCTGCAAAAGGCTTTGACTGTTAGTCATTCCTCTTGAGCAGGCTGGCACAGATATGTGGGCAGCATCACTGTGACAAGGCTGAATATCAGGCTGAGCTGAAGCACCAGGCCCGTAGGAGCAGTCTTGGGAG